AAAAGTAATTTATAGGAAAGAATGAATAAAACGGAGAAGAAACGATAGATTTTATATATTTTCTCTCTTATACAAACATTACAGAGGAGCGCTTCACATTATTCTACGCTTAATTCGAATGATCCGATCGATTCGTTTGCTCCAATTGATTCGATGGTAATTTTGACGGCTTCCCTTACCTTAATAGAATCACTGATTACTACTAAAATGTGCTTTCTCATCAACAAGATAGTTTAAATTTTCACATTAATTAAGAAGGTGGATGAATAAAAGGTTCGTTCATAAATGAAAGGCCATACTAAAGGACAGGTTGTCCGTCAATCGCTTTATGCTAAAGGTAAAATACACGCGCCCCATCCCTGTAACTACGCTAGAGCAGTTACGAATGTTTGGGATGGATGAGCCACGTTCATCATCAGTGCGCTTTTCAGAATTATTCAACAACAGAAAACTCATCTGCGAATTATACTGGCAGCAGTACAATTTCTGCACTTAACAAAAAATGAATTGTTACTGTGAAAGTTGATCTGCAACAGACTTGATTATAGTAAATCAGGTTTGACTTGCTTCAAACATCTAAAAATATCCTCCTGTTCTTTTAAGAGAAGTATACAATGCCTATTGAAAATCTTATTAAAATCTTGACAGGAATTCTGTTTACTTTCGTTAAAATGATTTCTTTTAGTTTTGTGTGTACTATATACCTCAAGGCAGAATTTAAGCGGTGCTGTGAATGAAAAGAATTCTCTTTTTATTCCATAGTTGGTTGAGCATACGATTGTCTCGTTTCTTGACTTGAAAAATATTTCTTCGTACATTTTTGTATTACAAATTCTTTGATACGAATTAAAGAGCCGATTACGAATATACCCTGTGTTTTCGTTAAGAATGTTTTGGACCGAAAATTTGACTTGAAAAATCAAAGGTTTTTGTTAAATCCATGATGAAATTTAGAAATCGCGGTTTCGAGCTAACAGATGTGTAATGATTTGGCAAGTATCACAAACACATGCCGCTTTATGAGATACAGCGTTGTAGATGCTTAGTGAGGCGAAGCATTATTCAACTTTTATGTAGCTAAATACATATTAGAAGTTATCTGTTATGGCCACTAATTACTAGAAAATAATGACATAAACATGACGTTTTAGTTCTAATAACCAGCTGATATTAACAAGTCGATGCTTTTCTAGGCTTACACCTTAAAAGGTGACATTGTAGACCTGTTGGTTTAATGGGAAAATGAAATTCTAAGTGCTAGTGATCGCGTTAGCGTTTGATAGAAATATCAAAAAATCGTTGTACATACCATTAGCGGTTTCGGCATCATCACACGTGTTCTGCAATTAAGTTCAAGAAAAGAATAAGGAAACAACTAATGTGCTACATCATTAAAAGATGAAAAAAGGAAAATGTCTTTATAAAGCAAAAATGTATCATTACTCTTAATTTTTCCACGTTGGATTTTATGATGGTTGTCTACACGACACACAATTCAGCTTTAATTAGTGTTTTTCCGGCATATAAATGAATCATTAAAAGGCCAGAAGTGTGTCTTATTAGTTTGGATTATGTTTTAGTTATCATAATAAAAGCGTTTGCACTAGGTCACTTTGGTGTTCACATGCATAGACAAGCAAAAGTCATTTATCAAACAACTGCAAATAATCAACCCTAGAAGAAGTCGTCAAAATCGCATCGATGAATAAATTCCTAATGACTGACAGTTGCCTATGGCATATCAGTTCGTGTCGGTCAAAAACAGACTGAGATATGACTGCTTTTCTCATTAGGTTGTAAAGAATGAATTTAAGATTCATAAAATATGTTTACAAAGGAGAAAAGTAACCTAGTAAGGCGTTTTTGAAACTTTTCAAGAACTAATGATTTCCTACGAAATATGAATAGATATAATGCATTCTGTACGTCACTAGCAAGACTGTTAGTAGTTGTTTATAATTTATCATTATTTATTTCAGACATTCAGATGTCCAAGTAGAATAAAATTGTGGTTAATCTTTGATAGAACAAAATTCTTTTGAATACTTATACAAAAGCCTTTAGTCCGCTTCTCTCTCCTTCGTATCAGAGTTGTAACCGGTCCGGTGACCAGCCGGTTGAAAAAAATTTTCAGATCGGTAAAAAACGGTAAAAACCGACCGGTATGTTAGGTCATGTACTGCCAGTTAAAACGAGAGGCTTCAAAAAACACCCATCTGCTTGTTCCTTATTCACGTTTTTATTAATACTCAAGAAGAAATGTGATGCTACAGTCATTCATATCTGTAAGTTATCCCTAAGATGAATATGCGATGTTTCTATCTCGAGAAAAAACAGGCATCTACCTGCCACTCAATTGGTAATCTGCAAATCTTAAATTTTTTTACTTAGATTTTGCAAAAAAAAGTAATATTTCTCTTTGAACGGTAGTGACACCTTAAATCTGGTCTCTAACAAAACATTATTGAGATAAGTTGAGAAGTTTTTCTCAGCTAACACTGTTCTGATTGAGCTTTTTAGGGAGTTAAAAAAAATTTCGATTAAAAAACTGGAAAAGTTTAGACAAATTGAAGAAAATAAGGTTAATGTTTTTTGTAACAATATGATTATCTTTGATAAAAGAACTTAGACTTGCTCTCGACGTATTTTATTGAAAAAAATTGTGTATCTAGAAAATTGTGAAATTCATTTTATGACTTAATCCTGAGGGGGACTAGAGGGAATTTTACGACTAAAAAACTTCTTTAGACCGGTAACCGGTGAAAACCGGCCGGTCCAACCATTTCAACTGGTCCGACTGGACCGGACCGGTTACAACTCTGCTTCGTATACATAAATATCCAAAAATACTTTATGCACTAAAAACTGATCAAAATATCAAATCTTTCTTTTAAATGAAAAAAATCTAATTGTAACGCCTCACAGTTTTTGTAACGGCCTTCCTCAATAATCCATTTCATATGCTGAAATTATATGATGAATTTACGTCGAGTATAATGTAGAACAAGAAACTAAAACCACGTAAAGTCGATGTAACGGGCCATAAAGACAAATGTTTTCGAATGAATTAGATAAGCAGAATCATCGTTATACAGTGGTGCGTAAGAGTGTGTATCGAAAATGAAACAGACAAATAAATGAGTCTAAGTTGAAAAATACATTGGAAAGAGCACAATGAAATATCTAGATTCATAGCATCTCTATGAGCAAACTCATTTTCACTGAGATACTGGAATTTAAACATGGTTATTCCACGGTGATTCCGTCATCTTTACTGTTTTATTTATAAAACCCATTGCTGTATACCAGATGAGACGAAATGTTCACCTTTTTGGGGCCGTAACGCCACACTTGTAAACAAATATTTGAGCTTCAATGTTTCGAATGTACAAAAATATATTTCGTTTATGTGTTCTACTATCAGCTAGGGAAGCTATCAAAATTCCCATCGTCAAACATTTTCATCTAGATTGGAAAGAAAATTGAGCACACTATTCTTCAATCTGCCTGTGATCCCTGGTGTCTGCCTGCTTTTTTTGCTTGCTTGTTTCGTTCACGGTCTAAATCTGCTATTGTTTGCTCAAGGCTCGTTGAAGAGGAGTTCTTATACTTAATTCACTCAACTGTATTTTAAATCCAAATTATGTCAAAATATCAAGATATACTCTGTTTTACCCGCTCGACATGATGCAGTCCAATAAAAACTTTAAAAGCAACAGAAAATACTTCTGCTTTTATAAAGGTTTTCTAGACATCTTCCAAAGTACAAGAATATTTTTTACTATTATCAAACAAAAGAACATATAGAGCAGGCAAACTAGAGTATATCTTGATATTCTGACATAATTTCGATGGATTTTGACTGACTTATGAATTTTTAATTTTACTCAGAAATGGGCAAATAGGGCCCATATTTCACCTAATGTAGGCTTTTACTAGGTTTTTGAAATTTTTTTGAAAAAAAAATGTTGCCACAAGGTTCAGCATAGTCGACAACCTATTTTTACATTCGTTGTCGGAGTTACCATATCTAAGGGAATAGTGATCCTGGGACCCTCAGGAAACCCAATACCACATCAAAACTAAGAGTTCGCTTAGTTTCTGTTTTGGGAGGACACTCTGATCTATATATCTGTGGAAAAAAATTGGCCTTTTCCTTTGTCAGTTGCCAGAGATCCAAACTAGTTTTCCAAAGATGCTCTGGAAAACCCGCTAAGAACTTTGCGAAAAAGAAATGTTTTTAAAATTTCTCATCATACATTTGTGCTATAGCAGCACTAACGGTATAATATACCAAATCTTGAAAAAAGAAGTTCATCTTGTGTATCAAAAGTTATAAGTAGTTCGACTGAGAAATGTAAAAGACTCAATGATTTTTTTCTTAGATTTTCAGTACCAGAGATGCTAATGTGTCATCATATATTGGAAGAAATGGTATTCGTTTTAGATGTTTGAGTGTGAGTAGAGTGCAATACGATAATCAGAAGATATTTCGTTAGTTTTTAAAATTAAATAATGAGATAGATATTGTGTAGAATTGGAAAACATTTTGTTTTTGATTGTTCTTCTCTCTTTCATTCTAGACAATAGAAGGTTAATGTTAAATTATTCATAAGCCCTAGATATGATTTGACTGCGATTCAATTAGACGACTGTCTCTCTGTTCGTCTGCGCAAAAGAAATTGTCAGTCATTGTTAGTTATACGTATATATTAATATATTTCTATATAAATATATATCAAAGGAGAAATAGATGAACAATCTCTTACTTTTTACATCATTGGACTGTTAAATATATATTTAAGCAATGGGGAACTCATACACTGATTTGTACATTGATGAACCGTTATTCGATGACGACGTAAGTATTATCACTGGACAGTTTAAAAGTCGTGCTCTTTTTAACTAAATATTTATGAGCAGACAGTTTCACAAGTTATAACTAAGTTAAGTCGTCTTATCCTAGCTTCACATGAATTGAACCCCGTTCGCAGCATCTATTGTTTAACAGGAGCGTAGATTCGTAGATTGAGTACTAGGCGACCGAACTTATGACAATTCTATAAGTATCTTATAAGACATTCGATGATAAAAGACAAGAGTTTCTTGATTGATCGTAAAAGTATATATTGTTGAATAAGATTTTAATGAGTTGTTACTAGAAAATAATCTCTTTAATATAATTCTGACAAAATCATTAAAAATACCGCTATAGTAAGATTTCCTAGTGCAAGGTAATATAAGATTCAGTCTTTTCGCCGACAATCCGTACTCGGGCGAACTGTCAGACAAATAGTCCATACTCTCCTCTAAACTTCGTTAACAAATTTCTATTTTTATTCTATTAGTATGATGAATATAACATTAGTGACTTTGTTGGTGAATGGCAAGATACCAAATATGGCAGTCAAATGTTATTTGAATTATCGAATGATAAACAAATCCTAACTGGTCGATCATCAACGGGTGCCAAAGCTAAAGGATATATCAGAGGTCAATCAATTCAATTAGAATTATTTTATGGTACAAGTAATAAAAAATGTGAATATAAGGGCTCATTAGAAATAACTAACAAATTAAATTATATGATTATATGGCAGAAAAAAAATCATTCAGGACAATGGAGAACTACGAGTTCGTGGATTAAACTATAAATGGTTTGTGTGAGATTTTAGTGATTATGTGTGTAAAATGCTTGTATTCGGCAGCATGTATTTTACAAATAACTAACTTGTTTTTTACAGTACGTATTAGTTTTTTCTAATAAAGAATCAATTATTTGACTAGTGCCAGTTTCGGTTTGAATCAAATTCGAAGGAAACAGATTTCAACAAAATTACGGGATATCTTACGATTTTATTCAGGCAGAAGCCGTTGATTGAAAAAGTTAACTGGAGCTAAGTCTGATCGTTATAATTGTAAATAATGGGCGTGATAATCGGATCTCTTTCAGAATACAGCTTGTCACGCCGGATGAAATTAAACTATGTACTAAATACAAGGGAGAAAAAACAACACAGGGGATTGTCCACTACACATCTAGTATACCCGACTACATATCTGTTGCACATTCATTATATCTAGCGAAAATTTTTAGAAATGACTAAGAGCGATAATAAAGTATTTCTGGTCGACTATATCAATGCTAATGCCTTCTCGTATCATTTTCTGTTCTTATATTTTTCTAACACTTAGACAAAATGAGTTTTTTAATTAATCGTAAATATTGTTAACCAGTGTTATTCGATAAATCGCCGTCATGATTGTTATTGCTACCTGATATATCAAATAGATCAGGGATGGTTTGAAAGTTGTGTGGGCGGATCTGAGAAGGTCATTTTCTGGATGAAAATCCTTTATGTTCTAGACATGTCGGAAATTTCACTTAGCTAGCAATCATAGCTGGGCAAGTCAAATCAAAAATACTTTAAGTCAATTCATTTTTGACTTGACATGAGAAATTTCTGATGACTTGACTTTTTACTCATAGGTAATTTACACGATGGGCTTTCCCAGGAGACCATTGCAGCATTTCGGATGTGGATCACAAATGTTCAAGTTGCTGATGTAACGACGTTGCCTACTACGAAAAGGAGTTAACAATCTACTTTTTGTGCCCTGCGTGAGCATACAAATAATTTCTATACAAGTAATTGTAGCGTTGGTATTATCAGTTCTCCTTTTTTCTCCGGGATTTAATAAAATTTTATATCTGATTTATTTTGTACAAGAATACGGAACTGAAGCAACAGGGGTACGTGATACAAGCTTAGATGGATATTCTTATCCTCTTTCTGATCACAGGATAAAATATGAAAAGAGAAAATGGAAAGAAAAAAATATATATTAAGAATGAAAAAAAAAAGAAAGAAAGAAATAAAGGGCATTAATTTCCACGTAAAATCAGGTTTTCATATATTTTTCGAAAACTAGATTAGGCACCAAAAAACAGTCGCCGGATTCGGAATCTACCTGCAAAAACCGACCAAAATAATAAGGACACATAATAATAAGGACATGTATACTGTTTCCTTCAAAACTGGACGAAAACTAATTTCCCTGATTTGCTTTGATGCTAGCCAGCAATCCGAGGGCAAGTCAAATCAAAACTACTTTAAGTCAAGTCATTTTTGACTTGACGTCATAAATTTCTAACGACTTAACTTGACCTGATTTGAAAATTTTCTTTGAAAGATTTGACTTGACTTCTGGCTTGGCATAAAAAATTAAGTCAAGTCATGCATATTTTTAAACCGTTTATGCATTCTAATCTTAAATAATAATTCATAATGACTTGGGAATGTTGATGTTATAATATGTAAAAATTTACACACAGTAACAAGACACACATTTTGCAATAATCTGTGTTCTAATATCAAGTAATGGATACTCTTTTCTACGGAAAAGAAAATTTCAAGTCATGACTTGTGACTTGACTGGTCGAATTTTAATAAAGTACAGAATCTTAATAAAGAAACAAGATTGTACGATCATTCATATGTCGCTCGATCAACATTCAATCAGCAATACAATTCTAAATTATGAATACAAGAATATTGTGCACTATCATGCATGCACCGAGACACGTTTTCTCGATGGATCAAAGCAGCCAAAAATAATTCTTGCATGACTTTCCGGCTTGCTCTTCGGACCACGGTAGTTACATAGAACGTTAGCAATTGTATTCCGAAAGTTATCGATAGCAACGATCAGTATATCGTCAGATTCATGGCCGAAAATGCTGTAATCTCAGGCAACGTTTCAAAATATATCCAGGCCCACAGATCGCTGTTCCTCTATTCCACGACTATTCCTGTATTCCGCTGTTACGCAACATTTCATTTTATAATGATTTTTACATTAATTTCGTCGAATTGATTTGATTGTTTCTTCAAAGACAATCAACCGCTGTGTCAAAAGATTATTCTTTTATCAACTTATCAAAAACACAGATACACGTTTCTTTTACAGCTCATTCTACTCTAATACTATTTGGACCTTCCTATAAAAGAAATTCTTTTGTTTTTCTGTTTAAACAATAAAAGAAGAAATTTTAGAAATTCAGTATTTGATCAATTCATTAATTCATGCTCATCTTTTATGTATACAAGAAGGAGCGTAGTTACTGTAAATTTGTTTATTTCAATATATATAAAAGATGAACATTTGGTGAATTTCTAAAATTTCTTCTTTTATTGTTTAAACAGAAAAACAAAAGAATTTCTTTTATAGGAAGGTCCAGATAGTATTAGAGTAGAATGAGTGAAAAGCGTCTGTCAAGCAGTAGTGACAACATCGAACCTGAAGAATCATCGACAGATGAAGACGAACAACCAATGGAAGTGGATACTGATGATTCTGAACTATTAAAGTTCGGAGATAAAGTTATTCTTGCTGCTTCTTATTTCTTAAAAGCCTCTAAAATACCCTAGAAAACCTTCTGGAAATCCTCTGAAAGTGGTGTAATCCGGCGAGTATCTCCATCGAATTCTTTGTTTCTTACCTACTCGGCACTATCTAGATTAAATTTGAGTCAAAAGTCGCAAAAGTAACTGAAAGTGACTTGCGGTTTTATTGGTATTTTTTAGTAAAATGAGCTTTTCTCTGCAAGGAATTTTAAAACAATATCTTCGAACTCTGTAGCCCGCTGTTCACCGCGTCTAACTGTGTGTCAAATTTATCTCTAGCACTTCTACTCTACGCTGAATAATTTATCTCTAGCAGGCTGGGAAGGTGATACTAGTGATCGTCGCAATGTGGCGATTCAGAATATGTACGATAAAGTCAAAAATAAAATCCGCTGCACGTTTGAATTGTATCCATCTAAAGTTAAACTCCATTCTAGAGAAAAACTCGAAAACGTACAGCCTTTGCGAGATGAAATTCTCAGGTTATGCTTTTTAGTGGCTCCTTCTCACACGCGCACACACACACCACTCAAGTTAGATTTATCGCAATTCGAGTTCGAACCGTGATGAAAAGTTTTTGTGCTGTATTAAACTTTTACATTGAAGTGTCTATCACTATGCTTAAAATCGTAGTTATATTCGAACTGGGATTAGGCAGTTACTCCGAGAAATAGTATGGTCTTCTGTTGAAAAAAAGCGAATACTAATCTATTTTAAATTATATAGCTTGGATTCTCCGCTTCATAGACATGCTCGAACAATCTCGGGTAGTTTTCTCTTGCGATATCTATCTACAGTTTAAAAATATAGTTCTCAACATCCCTAATAGTTCATATGAAAATTTAATATACAGTAGATTGTTTTTATGAGGTTTAGCTACTGCGTATGGACGCCATTGAAAGCAATCAAAAACTTATCGCATTCGTTATTATAATGGTGGAAGTTCCCCAACTCCGTAAGCGTTCTTGAAGAAATATTTTGGACAGAAGTAGATCGTGGTGAGTTTAAAAATACCTCAAAATATTTTGGTTCCAACGGCTTTCGTTCAAGAGATATCAAATTTTCAAGCTCCAAATAAAGCAAATTTGATGTATCCTGGAATTTTTATTTTTCATCATCAAGAAGAGCCTCCAGCCGTCTGATGGCTTTATTCGATAGACTCTGCTATCAGCAAGCTCGAGCATAACTTTTAACCCGATGCATTCGAAATATCAGGAGATATTGAATTTCTAGTATACACATGTATTATATACAGTCTTTTTTATTTACTTTGGAGTAAAGTTCACACACGTACATTTTAACTAATGAAAATGGTAACTATGGACGAAATGGATAGAGCGTCTCAATGCATAGAGCGTCTTTAGAACCTGCACCCTCGTCGCTTTCATCAGTCAGGTACAACACCTGAACAACTGAGATACATAATTTATGTAAAGATAGAGTGAAGCCTTCTCTCCAAAATGCTGAAAACTCGAACTCTCTATTTCTTTTCGTTCTCGAGTTATTCAAAAAACATCCATGGCAGCTCTATACAGAAATTCATAGTAGAAACCCCATTTACCTAAAAGCGGGTACAAACAACTGCTTATCGGTAACATTTTGAAAAGGCAAACACAGATTTGTAGCGCTTGGAAATCTCTCTCGAATGACGTATTACTTTACCGTTTCCAATAAACCGTTAATTTGCAAATAAAAGTGTAAGGCACCAGAATCATATTAACTAATATTCATTAGGATTGATTAATTATAAATTATTGTCTTAGAAAAAAGTTTTTCAAAATTATTTTTAGTATACTATAACAACAGACCATTGGCTGTCAAGCAATGCATTAATGACTTCTCTAGGATTATTTTTAACTGAACCACAAGTTTTTTAAAATGAGAACTACGGCCTTAAGTTTTAATTAAAATTTAAACCAATTAATTAATAACTCTGTGAACAGTTATCAGTTCATCGAAAAAACTGAAGGGTCAGGTGTTCTCTTCAAACTCACATAATTTGCGGGCACATATAGGGGTGGGATACCCCTCAAATATGTTATTGATAACTTGTTAAATAAATAATCTTTCAAAACATGGCGGCTAATGCTTTTTGACGAAGTAGAAACAGTTAGAAAAGAAAATCAGGCTTGATGTTTATAACCTTTATATAGCAAAACTAGCATACAATGAAAAATAGTATGAAATGTTCTATTAATTAAAGGAATAATTGGCGAATAGAGGAACAGCGGAATAGGAGAATGGCA